ACAAGCTTCTCCATCTTCAGAGGATCAAATGCCATCTTTCACAGTGTGAAGCCACCATGCAGCTCAGGGCCATGAAGGATTTGGGTAACTAAACCCATGGAGCTTAGGAGGCAGACTCATTGCTTTTATTTACACCTGGGTTTAGCAAATTGCTTGAGCTTTGTTTATAATTAAGGATATTTTACTATGCTCCCAGCTTCATGTGAGAGCTGGGAATATTGAAAGCTTCTTGGAGCCCTTAATTTTCCTTGTTGATATGTCTAAAAACATGTCATCCTTACCCTGTGCTGCTTTAAAAAGAAGCAGTCGAGTCATCCTGGTGAAAGGAATGAAGCATTCCAGAACCTGGGTGTCTTCATAAACAAGAGTCATAATAGAAGCAAAGTAGCACTAATCAGCTTTTCCAAAGGAAATGCCTAGAAAGCTTTTATGTAGATCATAATTTGTTAATTTTCTTACTTAGTTGCTTATTTATAGCCACACTCAAATGCTTCAGGGCTAGCCTTGCTCCAGGGTTGAGGAACCTGTGTCTGGTGCCATGAGTAGGAGTGCCTTGGAAGTGGTGTCCTGGAGTGTCACCAAAATGTGAAAACTTGGACCCATTATAAAAAACCCCACCCAAATCAATCAACTCTGGGACATGAGCATGAACAGGGATATCTTAGGGTTTGCCTCAGTTGCATGTCTAATGAAAAACATGTTCTAATTAATGTGGGGAAAAGCAAGCAAGAGGTGACTTCTGAAGCCTGAAATATCTGTCCATGTGAAAGCTTGGTAGTGTGTGGTAACCCATCACCACAGCCTTCAGGAAAGGGATCTCCTCTCTTCACCAGCCTTTCTGTCTTTCCCTGCACCCTGACGTGTCTGCAGCTGATGGAAAACAATCTCTGGTCGGTCGAAATCACAGCTAATGCTGTGGTGTAAAGCAGGGAGAAGAGGCAGCAGAAGCTGAAGGTGAAAGAGCTGGTGCTGTTGCGTTTCTGGTCCTCTGGCTAAGGCAGTGTTACGGCACGTGGTAGAACAGGATGTCCACAGCTGGTGGTGTGGGGCTCCCCAAGGTGTCTTGAGAGGTTTGGCTACATAGAAGATAGGTTACCTGTCCTGAAAGGAGCCTTCTTCATAGGGCAATGGGGGTGATTCTGTGAAATGATGCTTCCAACACAGTGGAGTCTTCACCTGGTGCGACACCAGGAAGGGTTTCTGCATTGCTAGCACAGATGTCTGCTGCACACAGGGCAGGCACCACTAGCTGACATAGTTTCCACCCCATCCCCTCTGCACTCTTTCACCCATTTCTCACAATAAATTTTTTTAGAAAATAAACCTCTGCTTTTGTTTGCTCTCTGTAGCAGTGTAACTTCTGAACCATTACAGGCTCTTTGTTACCATCTGTGCTAGCAAGACTGTAGAATGTGCTAGACTAGGGGGGAATGTTTGAAAAATAAAAACCTGTAATCCTCTGCTCTGTGTCTCATCCAGTTTGTTCTGTTTCGCTGGCAAGGACCAGCTATTTTTCCTTGACATTGTCTTCTTTCCACTGCCCTTCTCACCTCTTAGGGCAACCCCTCAGTGAAATGCCCCTTAGGTGGCCAGAGGTGGAAGGGCTGCAATGTGACAGCCCACGAAGGCTCTACTGTGCTCTGCAGTGTGTAGAGCCCCTTGCTACAACTTACTGGCAGTGTGTGGGATCCATGGGGTGCCAAGCCCTAAAACTGACCCTGGGGAGTTTTAACCCCTTCATTCCTTGCCTTTCTAGACCTGAGTGCAGAAGGTGACTCCATTTTATACAGCCACATTCAAAGATCTTTGCGTGTCAGCAGCTCTACCTGTTATCTCTGGGAACAGAGAGATGGATTTGCTGCTACTCTCTTCTTTCAGCCACCCAATTCACAAGTAGATGCTGACACATAATTAGGACAGATAAGCACGTGAGTGAGCTTTTATCTTTGCTTGCATACTCCAAATCCTCCATCAAAAAAGGAACGTTACTACAGCTGTGAAGCTTTTTTTTCTGTATTGGAAGATAATGGCTCAGAGCTGACCATTAAAGGGGATATGAATGTCAGAGTGTAAGCCATGAGCTGGTCATTTCCTGGGACTGCTCAGAGGCCTCTTGGGCAGGAGAAGGCTTCACCTGGGAATGTCAGAGGGGTCCTTCCTTGACATAAGACAAGTAGTAATGGAGATACAGTCTGAGCCAGTGAAGCAGCTTATGAGGAATGTGCTGAAGCCCTTGAATCAAAACAGCATGTCATTGCAGCAGGTTTTCCTTCTTGCAGCTGGGATAAAGCTGGAAAATGTGCTGTTCCCTCTGCCCTGTGGCTGCTTTGTGCACCACAGCTCAGGAGAGGTCTTGCAGAAGAGGAGACCAGTTCAGAGCTTCGGTCATGTTGCTGTGGAGTGGTGGCAGGTAAGGAGATCAGAGGGAAATAAGGGAATGTAGAGCATGGATTCCACTGGCCTGGTTAGACACAGGGAGAGCAAGTCAGGGATATTCTAAAACTGCTGAGGGTAAAGTCTGGTTCATGAAATTGCACAGTATATGTACAGCTAGAAAGCTTGCATCCAAAGCCTCGGATACTCAATAATATCTGATAACACTCTTATTTTTCAATAGTATTCTTTAAAACAGTTAATGCAAATAACTCTCAAGTGGTCTTAAGGCTGCTGCTTCAAGATTTAAGCCAATCTCCAAAAATGGGGGATGAGGAGGAGATCCTTAGGGGAACTGTCTGCCCCTCATCTGTTCCTTAGACACTTCTTAGGGCTTCCTGCAAGCACGTAATGGTAGGTGCTGTTGGAGAAACCAAGTGCTGAGGGTTTGCAGTTGTTGATTGGATCAAAGTGTGCAAAACTTCACATAGGACAGGGGACCATGCATTCCCACAGTAGCATTAACACTTTTTATGCCTGTTTGAACATTGGGGCTGTGACATTAAAGCATTGCCAAGGAGAACAAAAAGCAGAGTAGATGCCAGGCTAGGACCTGGATGCCTTGGCTGAGGGTTGCTTTTGGTGTGTGTGACGCTGTCTTCAGTAGTCACCAAGAGCCCTGCTGTGTCCTAACAGTTCTGTGGGTTCAGTGCACCACGTTTGCACCTTTCTTACAGTCTTGGAGACCTCACAGCTCTCCTGAGTCATCACCATAAGCATTTTGACCTGTGGAGGAGTTGCCTGCAGACCAGCAGCGCGTGGAGCCAGCACAAAAAACTTTTAATGGTTTTTCTGCTCAGTTTAGTTTCTGGCCAGGCTCTTCCCCAAATGCCTGCTGGTTGATGGACACCTCTGTGCCACCAGGGATGGGACCATGTGTGAAAGCACAGCAGGGAACTCTTCTGCCCTATGTCATGTGTCCTTTGTGGTGGAGGAGCTGGGGTGTGAGGAAGGCAGGCTGGGGAATGGGGGTGTGGTGGGTGCACACTGCCTGCTCCAGAGCCATCCTCAGCTCATATGTGGTATTGTTTTCCCCTTCCCAGCTGAGGTAAGATCAGCAGCCATGGGCCTGATTTGTCATGGGTGGGTTGTAGGACCTGTGGCAGTACCATTGCTGCAGTGTGACTTGGTGTTCTCTGTGGGCTAGGACACACCATTCCTCTCACTGTGCAACTTGGGAATGGCTCAGCTCTTACAAAAGCAGTCCTGGCTGCACCTGCCAGCACTTTCTTTCTGCTACAGGCTTTGCAAGAAACTCGGTGACTGCTTTGGAAATGTGCCTACAACCTCCCCTCAGTAATTCCAGGTACAGTTGCAGTGGCCTGGCTCCTACATGGGTGTGCAGGACATCCTGGAGGGTTCCTGCAGGGGTGATGTACTTCATGTTCTCCTCCTTCCAGCCACAGAGCCATAGGGAGGAGTATCCCAGTCAAAGGGCACAGGGGGCACCAGGATAGGGGCCCAAGCGTTGAAGTTGCCAGACTCGTGGCGTGCCATGTGTGACTGCCTGAGGCTGGCAGCCTTCCCTGGCCTTGCCAGCAGCTCTGCTCATTTCTGGTCAGGGTTGACAGCCCAAGGAGCCCTTCATCTTGTTGGTGTGACTGGTGCTTGTCTGCAAGCCAGAGCGAGCTGCAGCTGCCCCAGCTCCTGCATGGCCAACTCTTTGTGCAAGTGTAGGGGGATGGGGCAAAAGGGAGCCAGTTCCACACTGGCTGGGACAGGCAGCCCTGCACCCCCAGCCAGCACTGTGTTGTCACTGCCTTGTGACAGGGAGCAGCGAGCCCTGTGGAGAACTGGCTGCTGTGGCTCATCCCAGCCCTGCAGGGGACAGCTGCTTTTGCAGGGACAGGGGAGAGGCTGGCAAACCAGCTGGCAGGCAGCTAGGCTGCTGTGGTTAACCACTGCTACACCTGACAGCAAGCAGTTCAGTCAACCCCCTGATCCCTGCCCAGCCCTCACTGGGGTTGAATGATAGTACAGCAGTGCCAGTCCCAGCACTGTCTAGCCAAGCCTGGTGGCAGCTGTCCCAGAACCAGTTATCCTTGCACTGGTGCCACTGTCCCAGCACCAGTACTGACTCAGCTGGTACTGCCCAGCACCAGTTGTCCTGGCATTTTATTGCCCAGGCACCAGTTTGGCCCAGTACAAGCTGGCCCAGCCCCAGTGCAGGGGGGCACCTGCAGCATGGCTCAGGAAAGGGTTGGTCCTGGTTTCTGGCCTTGCTCCCATGGTGCCAGCCAGCTCCTTCCTCTGGTACGCTCACCCTTGCTGGAGCACTGCAGCCCCTTGTAAACCTTCCTCTTTTCCTATCAAACAACACTGCAGCAGTTGCTCAGCTGAGCACAAGAGGACAGAGCTGACCTGTACAGGACAGCTGCTTGCCTTGGACCAGAGCTGTCAGCACAGGACCCCAACATGCCTGAGAATGTTGGGCTTCCTGGAGCTTGGGCCATCTCAGGGCTGTGTTCAGCCAGGCACTGCTGTCCTGCCTTCAGAGCAGCCATGCAAGGTTGAATCCCCTTCCCAACATCTGGCAGAAATAAAGCAGGCATCCATGTCAAACATAATATATTTATAGCAAAAATAGGCTTTTTCTGTAGCTTCCATACACAAGGTTTTCTCCCCGTACATTTACGCAGTAAACAGGCCGACTGAAGCAGCGTGCGCTGGCTGACTCGACAGCTGCCCTTGCTTCAGGCTCCCACTTACAACAGGTGGCTTCATCCCCCTTTTGTGGCTGCTCTCCAGAGCCTGCACTGGATCCCTCATACTTCCTCAGCCAGGGGCTGTGGCATGGCCAGGGAGCAGCCCAGGGACACAAGGGGAGCGATGGTGCAGCTTCTGCCCCCCAGGCAGAGCGCAGGGCTGGTGGACAGGCTGCCTCTGTTCAAATGGGGGCAGCCCAGGGAGTCCCTCCCAGCCCAGGATCAAGGAGAAGCTTCCTGTAGCTTACCTGTGCTGTGACCACAGGCTCCTCCACCATGCTCTCAAGCAGCAAGTGACTGGGCACAGGACCTCAGCCCTCTCATGGTGTTAAGAAGATACAAACCTCATTAACTCAGGAAGCCTTCCTTGTTCCTGCCTCTGTGCTGATGGGAGGCAGAGGAGGGGCTTAGGACTGCCCAAAGTCCCCTGCAGAAACCCGCAGTGCCTGAACACTGTCAGAGACCTTCTCACCCTGCTGTTGGAGAAGGCAAAGCATTAGGACACTCTGCCAGCAAGAGCTTCACAGTTTGGAGTTTGCCTTGGGTCATCTCTTGTTCATCCCAGAGGGGTTTGGCACATGGACCTAAAGGATATTACGTGCAGGCAGCAAGTGCATCCCATTGCTGTCCTGGGCTGGAGAGGGGCCCTTGCTGGGAGCCAGCATTTCTTGCTGCCTAACCACGCAACTCAGGACATTGCAACACACCCGCACCATGCCCATGCTGTTCCCAAGTGAGAGACATCACCCCAGTGAGGACAAGTGCCCAAGGGTGGCTTTGCAAGCAGGGCAGCCACTGCAGCACAGGGAAGGAAGCCAGCTTTCCTCTCTGCCCTCCCTGTGGCACCCAGGCTCCCACAGCACCCAGGCAAGGAGCTTCTGCTCGTGGGAGAGAATCCCTCTAATTTGGCCCCAGTCCCCTATTGCTTCCCTCTCTCCCCATGTTTTTGGCAGTCCTCCTTGGACACGTTCAAGTCTCCAGCATCTCAGCAGCACGGACTTGCCTCACAGTTTGGTAATTGCACGTAACGGGGCCACTCAGTGAGCCCCACAAGGCAGGGGGGGAAAACCAACAAAAAGGAACAAGACAGTCAAGTAAACTAAATTGAGAAATCCCTCGCTGCCGGTCCCAGCGTGACGGGTCCCGCAGGAGTTCAGGGAGCGAGGACGCTGCCTGGCCCTGCCGCAGCGCAGCCCCCGCTGTCTAGGAGATCATGTACTGGGTGATGGCCTGCAATGCATACAGCAGCTCTGCCTGCATCCGGGCCTCCAGGATGAGCAGGTTCACGTGGACCTACGGGAGAAACAGGAGAGGCTCGGGCAGCTGCAGTGTGCTGTGGGCAGCGGCGCAAGCGACCGCTCACCTGGGCGAGCGAGTCTTTTGGCATGGCACAAAATGCCACCCATTTTTCCAGCTCAGGCAGCTCCCCTTTCCCCCTCCTCCCAGTCCTGCAGGCTGTGGCTGCTTCCCACAGCAACATGCCAGGGAGTCCCCTGCATACTTGGCAGCAGCATGGCAGGCTGGCACCAGCACAGTCCCCAATGGCCACAGCAGCCGCTCCTGTGAGCTACAGCTCGAAGGAGGGCTTGCCTGGAGGCACCCACTGATGGGCTACTGACCTTGGAGATCCCTGTGCTGCTGGTGGCCCCTGTGCTCGTCACACTGCGCAGCCCCATGCCATGCTAAGCCCAACTCCTCACAAACAGCCAATTTCCACAATTTCCACTCCCCCCCCACCTGCCTCAGACTGGTTTGGTGGCTCAAAGATCTCCCAAACACCCCCCAAAGCACCCCAGTCTGCAGCCCCTACCCGCTCCCAGCCCCACCGCAGCCACTCAGAGCCAGGGGCCAGCCATCCCACCTTTTCACTGTGCTTGAACTGCTTCCAGAACCTGTCAAACATTTCTGAGTTTGTCTTCTCTGGGTAGCAGGTTACAGTTTTAATGTAAACTTTGAGCATTCGCTCCAGGAGCTGATTCACTTCTGCATAGTCATAATCATCGTACCTGCGGGGAGCACAGGGGTGAGTCACAGCCAGCACCTCGCCTGTGGTCTGCCTGGGGCACAGCCATGGGGCAGGGGGACACATGGCAATGGCCACCAGGCACTGAAACCCTGTCCCCAAAGCTCCCTGCCCTGGCCAGAGAAGCTGAGCATCTCTTCCCTGCCTGTCCCAACATCCAGGCAGGCCATTCACCTCTGTCCCTTTTCCACGCTCATCTGCAAGACAGCCTGAGTCCCCTACCCTCCTCCCATCTGGGTCACCTCAGTTTCCTCCCCTGGACCATGAGGTTGGTTTCCCTACCTAATGCCAAACATGCAGTGGATGTAGTTCCAGATGCCCCGCTTGAAAACAGAGGGCTCACAGCCCTGCCGCTTGGCCATGGCACTGCTTTGCAGACCATCCACCATCCTGAACTTCTCATCCAGGAGATGCCCAATGTCAGAGTAGAGCCGGTTGACCAGTGAGAAGCCATGGTCTTCCCAGGAATAATCCTGTTGAGCACAGCAAGAGGCTTTTGCAACTGCAAAAAGGAGCTTGGAGCATGTTTCCAAGAACAAGGGCTGGAGACCTCAGGACGCAGCAGAATTCAGTAAGTTTGCTTGGGGGGCACCTCTGCCACAAACCATAACATCCCTTATCAGACAGATTTTGAATGATTTTGACCCTTGCCACTGTGAGGGCCATGCAAAGAAATCATCACCCCTTGGGGACAGAACTCATGGGTCACCTCCCTCTTCCCAAGGCCAGTGGGGCAGGTCTCCTCTCAGAGCTGGGCTTTCCCACTCAGGCATTTTGCAAAAGCAGCTGTGCCAGATCCAGGCTGCATGGGCATCCCTGCCACCATTTACTGCCACGAGGAGCAGACAGGCAGCAACTTGGGCTGCTGCCCAGCGAGAGAGCAGGAGCCTTACCTGGACTCTGAATACCTGCGTCTGATCCTCATCGCGCCGGGCAAAATCCTGGTATCCAAAGTCAGGGTCCTGCATGTAGCATGCGAGGTTGGTGGCACCAGTGACTTCTCCATCAGGATCTGCAAGAAGGGAGAGCCCTGCAAACAGGTCAGAGCAGTGCTCAGCTGCCCTGTTCCCAGCCACAGCAGGCATCAAAAGCCAGCCCTTGCTGTGCCCCATGTGCATCCCGTGAGCCCCTCTACGAACCATACATCATGGAAAATATAAGGCATGAGGGAGCAATACCCAGGTGTGCCATACAAACTCCCACCCTGCACACCCACCTCCGCTCCCTGCCCCTCACCTTCCTCTCGCTCCAGCTGCAGCAGCCTCATCTCCTCCCTGCCCTCGGTCTCCACATGGATCCGCTGCATGCGCTCCCGGAGGGAATCCAGCTCCATGCAGGAGTCCAGGGACTGCACAGACACAGGCTGGGGGTGAGGGCAGCAGTCATGGCTGTACTTCCCCCTCCCCAGCACACCCACCCTCGGGGGCTCACCCGCTTGCGGTTGATGCGCAGCAGCTCCTGGCTGCAGCTGTTGCCGGCGGTGGCTTCGCAGAAGCACTGGTTCCCGAGTGACAGGGGCTTCAGGGAGCCTCGGCCCCCCAGCCCCTCGTCCTGCTCACAGCCACAGCCGAAGACAAAGCTGGCGAGCGCGTGGCAGTGTGCCAGGAGGACGACGGCGTGCACCAGCTCCGCCAGCGACCAGCTCCACTCGCTGATCTTCAGCAGCTTCTGCAGAACACAGACCAGCAGTGTGCCACAGGCAGGTGGGCAGGGTGCTGGCAGCCTCTGGGGACACTGCTGTCCCCCACTGCTGCCCTGGTCCCTGGCTGACAGCCCTCCCCCAGTACCTCAATGTGCTCCTTGGTGATGAGCCAGGGCCGGTGTGCCAGGATCTTGTTGATCTCGTTGAGGTTGCGGAGTTTGGGGGGGATGAATTCGAGGCCGCGCAGCCACTGGGGGTCACCCCCTGCCCGCAGGAACTGCAGCACGTGCAGGTTCACCAGGTACCGGCACTGGTGCCGGGCAGCCGCCTGCAAGGGCAGCACATCAGCATCCCTGCACCACACAGGCACCCCGGCACCCCATGCCCACCTCTCACCCAACCTCCAGGACACCACGATTTTGGCCTCTGATGAGAAGCCTCTGACACAGGCTGTCTACTGGAGGGAGAGGGGAGCCCCACAGGGCTGAGCAGAGCCCCCGTCCCCTCCGGCAGCTCCCAGTGGGGCTCACCATGATGGCGATGTAGTGCCGGCAGTCAAAGGGCAGGGGGCCATCCATGTGCATCAGGTAGTGCTGCATCTTGAGGAAGCTGTCCAGGTACTGTGGGTGGTAGCCCATCTGCTGGGTCACTGCCTCCAGCCGCCCCCGGCTCGCCAGCACCTTCACGAAGAGGAACTGGGGGCACTCAGGGTCGCTGCCGGACATCTTCACTACCTGCAGGAAACACGCTCTGCTTGGCTTTCCCCAGAGCAGCCCCTGCTGCAGCAGCCCACCCCAGCCAAGCCCAGGCTCTGCAAGGGGCAGAAATCCCCTCTCCTGGCTCGGTGCTCCCAGAAGGACACTCCTGGAGCCAGGCAGAGCACTGCTCAGCACAGGCACTGCTAGCAGGAGGACAGGTCACAAGACACACAGGTTGGCCTCTGCCTGGGAGAAGGCACTGCATGGTGAGCTGAAGCAAAGGACCAACTAGGAATGATGTTTCCTTGCAGTGATGCAGGGCTGGAGCAGGGGAAACATGACATGGAAAGACATTCCGGAATGGAGCAGCCTGTCAGCCTTACCACCAAGACCCTGCACTGCCAGCACTGAGCCCTCCTGCCCAGCAGCAAGATGGGGGAGAGCTGTGGAGACAGCAGAGGGGCTCTGAGGCTCCTGCCCTGGCAAGCCAAGAGGCAAGTGATGTCCTGGCACCTTCCATGTGGTCAGGAGCACACAGAGGAGCTCCCCACGTGCTGCCCAAGGAGACAGTGTGGGAGCGGTCCCGCAGGACACAGTGCCACTGTCACCAGGTGTGCCCACTGGTGAGAACACAAATGGGCCACTCGGCATGGGGGGGCCAGACACCCCCAGCAGTGCCCACCCCAGTCCCTCCCAAGAGGGTGGTGGGAGCCAAGGGCAGGGATGTTGAAAAGGTGTCTGGGCGGCTGCTGTGCCCCAACGACCGTGTTGCCACAATTCCCACCCGACAGCAGGGTCTGCACCTGCAGCTCACCCACCCCGAGCTGTGGGTGCAGCAGGTGCTAACCCCTGTCACACAGAAAGTCACAGCCCCTGCTCACCTGGGGGAGCCCAGGCAGCACCCTGGGATGCAGAGGATGCGTCTCCTCTCCCAGGCTTGAACTGAAATCTCCCCTGGGAAATTCTGGCCCTGCTGATCCCACCGTCATGTTCCTCCCACCTGCCTCTCTGGCACACTCCCCCAAAGGATGGTGACTGGGGCACAGCAACCACAGTGGCGTAGCAGAAAACCAGGAGCACTTCTGCAAACCACCAAAGCCATGGGGTGTGTGGCAGAGCACCCCGGGGTGAGGGGGAGACAGAGCAGTGATGAGCTTTGTGGCAGCACAGAGAGTTGCACCCACAGAGGCAGTGCAGGAAGAGGCTCTGGCTATTTTCCGCCATCCTGCACTTCTGATGAACATACCATCGCTCAGATGTCAAGAGATTAACTCGATGACATTTGGAACATCAACTTCCTCTGGCCAAAGAGGTCCAAAAAACCCCAAAACTCAAATTAAATTGGAAAGAGATGAGGAGCACCAGCTTCTCTGTTCCACAGGGGAAGGCGCAAGCCAGAAGTGACATGTGAAAGCCCCCTGAAAAGTCCCTCTGCCTGGGGAAAGGAGCTGCCATGAGGACAACCATGGGGTTACAGCCACTGGTCTTCTCCTCCTCGTGGGCAGAGGAGCTGGGGGCCCTTCCACTCCCCCTGGGGAAAGGTGGTCCACAGCAAGGAGCCATTCAACCAGCCCATGGCTCAGCCTTTGGTGCTGCCAGCTCTCCTCACTCTGCTTGTCCAGGTGGTGGTGGAGAGAGCAACTAGGCAGACACGGCTTGGAAGGAGAGGATGAAGGAAGGTGCAGGGCAAGCTCCGACCTCGGCCTCTCTCCTGCCCACTCCCAAAGGTACCAGCTCAGCCCAGGGTGTCTCCTACCGGGACCACCTGCCACATTCCCGCACTCCTGCCTCCCCAGCCTCTCGCATTGCTCCCAGTGCCACTTTGCTCACCTTCCTCGGCCATAGTCCTCCTCCTCCTCCTCCCCTGCACCCACTCGCACCCCTGGGCGGTGGGAACATCGCCTCCCTCCCTGGGGAGGCTTTCCTGTGTCCAAGCCCCCTGAACCCCAACAGGCACCTCGACCCCGTACCCACCACCAACCTCGCCCCCTCCCCACCCGGCGGTGCTGCCGGGGGAGCGGTGCCCCGGT